TCAATAGATGCGTTGAATATTGCCTCGAACACAAGCCCGTACAGTCCATCACAGACCGGCTTTGTAACGGCCTCTTCCTCGCTGACAAGCGTCTCTGTCGACCGCCGCGCGTCTGTCTTTTCTTCCAGTACGTTCTCCGCCCCAGGTCAAACTGTGCAATACCAGGCTGGTTCCTTTCAATTTGAGGATGCCTTTTCTGCTCCGAAGAAACGCGTCCTAACACGGGAGGAAAGGCACATGTGGTTTGAAGATAAAACGACTGTTGTCCTTTGTGAGACTCCAACCATTATGCTTTACACACATCAAGATGAAATTGTACCCAATGAACGAAAGGAGGAGCTGCAGGAAGTGCAAGATCGCAATGCGGCGTATGCGGAGTTAGTGGAGGCAAAACGCGTTGATGAAGGCACACGTTTTCAGGAGAAGGGCTCCTGGACCTTTATTGCGCCCAAGAAATCCATTCACTGCTCCATTTGCCCTCCGAAAAAGAAGGATGCAGGCGCATTGCAGGTGACGCCGTGGTTGTTGCGTGACCAGTTTACCGCTCTTCTGGCAGAAGATACAGATGTCATGAAGGACGAGGAAGAAGAAGTCGATGAGGAAGATGGCGAATTGGAAGAGACGGGGGAGGAGCAAGAAAAAGAGGTCCCATCGGAAACAACTGGTGAGCAAAGCAGCCTTTCAAATAATCGTTCTATTTTGTCGTGGATGTTTGCCGATTCATTGCTCCCGACTTTACGTGTTATGGAGCGAGTTGTTGTCCAGAACACGATGGAGGAGGTGCAGTTGTCATACCGAGGAATCACGATGGACCCTGCGGCACGCCGTGTGCCTCGAGCCTCCGAGAAGGAGGAAAACCCAAATGTAGAAGAGGCGGAGATGGCAGTGGCGGCAGAGGTGCAGGACCCAAATGATGTGGCTCCCGCCGTGGCCGCCACGCCTTTGTTGAAGTCTGAACTTCCACCACTAAGGATGTCAGAAGATATTAAGGGTTTGTGGACCTTTCGATCGCCCCAAACAAGGGATCGCTCCGTTACTTGCATGGCGTGGAACTGCAAGGAAAATGATATTCTTGCCGTTGGATACAGTGCAGTTCGTGGACAGGACGCACTAGGCGTGGAACCTGCAAACACATTCCAGGGAGGCATTGTGTGCTGTTGGTCGTTAAAGAACCCCCTCGCACCGGAGCGCGTCATTCAGCTGAACACGGAGGCGGGAGTATCGTCGGTGGCGTTTTCGTATGAGCATCCAAGTCTTCTTGCTGTCGGTAACATGGAGGGTGGGATTCTTATTTATGACATCCAAAAAGACTCAAATGTCCCTGCAATCAAGACAACGTTGACGAGTGGGCAGCACACTGGGGCGGTTTGGGAGATGAAGTGGGTGGCACGCGGTAAAGAGCGTGGGGAATTCCTCATGTCCATCTCCGGTGACGGACGTGTCGTCCAGTGGGCGGTTGGAAAAACAATCGAACGTGTGGCACCTGATCTCATGACGTTGAAGCGGCAAGGTGGCGCTGCCTTTGAGCCTGTTGTTGCAGACAACGGCACTAATGGTGGTAAACGTAATGGGGATATGCAGCAGCGACGCAGACGGGATGCACTTTTTTCCCGACAATGTGGCGGTATGTGTATGGACGTATCTCCTGCAGATGGCACAGTATATGTTGTTGGCACAGAGGACGGCTCTGTTCATCAATGTAACAAGAGCCAAACCGAGAACTACGAGTTGGACTACGCGCCGCACTCGGAACTTGTCTACCGCGTGCGATGGTCTCCTTATAGCGATGAATACTTTCTCACATGTTCGGCGGATTGGAGCTCGCGACTGTATCGTCTTGGGCAATCCACACAATTACTGAAGTTTGATAGTCCGAATCAGAATGCCGTGCAGGATATCGCGTGGTCCTACACGAACTCTACTGCCTTTGCCACCGTGACAGCCCAGGGAAACGTGGAGCTGTGGACCATCATGGACTCCATTCATCCCCGTTCCACTGTGCAGTTTTTGGATCAGCGCCGGCTTGCGTGTGTTCTCTTTGCGGAACAGGATGCCGCTGTGCTGGTGGTTGGGGACGAAAAGGGTGACGTGACGCTATTTCGCCTTCTTTCACCGTACTATAGCGGCATGAACATGTTAGCCGATGAACAGGAGCGTCAGCTCGAGGAGGCCATTCGCAAGGCAATCTCGTAATTGTCTCTGGATGAAATGAGCAACAGGAAACGGAAGCCCCAAAATACGAATGAAAAAAAAAGAGGTTGCGGGTGGGGAATGGGGTGGCCGAAGAGAAATGTCGAGGATGAATAAAAAGGAGGAAAAGGAAAGAGGAGTGCCTGTGCATTGCACGGCAACAGTGAGGTGTCAACCCCACACCAAACAACCGCAACACAACAAAAAAAAAAAAAGAAAAGAAGACTGTGAGAATCGAAACAAAAAAAAAAAGGAGGAGATTGAAGGCAATGAAGGTGGTGATGGGTGTGAGGGGAGTGTGGCCCTCGAGGGACGCTCTCAGTGTCACTGTCTGAGCCGGCCGGCACCGGTCTTCGCGATGTAAATGATAGAGACTGAGAAGCACAAATACACACAAATGAATGCGTGAGTGTCTTTGTGTGAAAGAAAAGAAGAAGAAGAAGAGACATGAATAAAAAACGGGCTCTCCATAGGATACTCTCCTTTCATGTAGACATGTTGTATGCGTACAATACCACTACACTAGTGGAATTTGCCTTTCTTTTTTTTTTTCTTACTTTTTTTTGTATTATTATTTTTTATGTTTCTGCGTTTGATTGCTTCGACGATTCATCGGAGGGATTTAGAGTTTATTGGCTGTGCCTTTTTAGCTTGCAGTTCCGGGGAAGCCAACACGAGCCAATAACAACTTTGTACACCTGTTAGAAGGAGTTGAAGAAGCAGTCTTAGCAGAGAGATAGAGGGAGGCAGGAGAAAGGGTGTGTGGAAAAAAAAAAAAGAAAAATAAGGACGCTTTCTGTGCTGGTGGCTGTTGATATTTGAGAGAGCAACAACAACGATAAAGAAAAGCAAAGGCAAGACAGCACGGAGCCATCTTATTTTTTTTTTTTTACGAGGGTTCTGAGACTTCGGCATGTCGACAAATCCAGAGGAACGTGAGGCGGAACCACAACCCTCACCACATTCAGTTCCGCCACAACAGCAACTACAGGAAGAGGCAATTGTTGAAGAAATGACCGGCGTTGGCGCTGCTGATGCCGCCGTGGAAGAAGTCGCTTTTGTGCCGCCGCCGCCGCAACAGCAGGAGGAGAAGCAACAGGCAGAAGAACAACAACTGGAGGTAGCACTTCAAGAGGAACAACGCGATGAAGAACGAGGTATGCAGGGAATTGTGGAAGTTGAAGGGAATATTGATACAAAATTGGGAACGTTATTAGCTGCTCATCCCAAGCCGCATAGCCGCAAGGGGGGCAGCACCACAAAGGAAGGGGACGCGGAGTCTCTGAGTACTGCTACCGAAACCCGGCTCCAAATGTCCAAAACGCTTCCACCTTTAGCGGCTTTGTCATTGCTTGAGAAGGGAGTAGGATCTGAGTTTCGAGCGCGGGAGGCGTCAAACCGATCGTTTAAGATGGGGAATTATGATTCTTCTACGGGAAACAGGTTTTACTCGGCCGGTAATTATGCGCCATTCCGCACCGTGAATAGTATGACACCCAATGAAGAATACATGGCGTTCCGAACACGCAATGGTGTTTCTTCGAATTATAAAGGACCCATATTTGCTGTAGAGGATCTTTATGTGATGTGTGCAGAGTGCGGTGCTCCTGTTGACCCTGTTACTCGTGTTCCTGCCGGAAAGCTGTTTTTTCATCCACAGTGTATCAGTTGCAAGTTGTGTGGCCGCACCGATATTGCGGATGCTTACTTCAGGGCCATGGGTAACGGCGCAATATGCTCTGAGTGTGCTTCAAGGGGCTTTGCGTGGTGTGTGCCGCGAGAAGCTGCCGCGGCGCGTGGAATTATTCCAGGTGCTGTTGTTGGCAAAATTGATGAGGCTGTTAGACTTTATGATCTTAAGAGGAAGCTGCAACCGATTAATCACCCCACTCTGCCGGGAGCCATTCCGCCCACACTTGTGCTGGGTCGTCTTTTTGTCCATCGCGGGCAGAGCACAAGAAAGTACTCACTCATTCAGCGTCAACAGTACTACACGCAGAATGACAACAACATTATTTGCTTGCCGCCTGAGGGGTCGAGGGCATACTCGCGGGCGTCCAGTGCGAGTCGACACCGGTGGAAGAAGGATGAAATGCCCAAGTTGATGTAGGCAGCGCGATGCATGCAACGAGAAGGAAAAAAAAAAAAAAAAAGAGAAACAACAACAACAAAAACAAAGAAGGATAACAGGGAAAATATTTTTCTTTACTTGCTCTGACGGAAAGAAGAGGGAATAATAAAAGCAACGGCAGCGGTAGGAACAACAGCAATGAGAAGAAGAAAAAGAAGAGAGAGAATATATATTTAAGACACATCACCGATTACACTTTGGGGCGTGACATTCATCGGAAGGGGAGAAATAGTACTGAGAGTGGGAGACACTCGTGAGGGGAGGCAGGGGAACCCACAAAGTGGAGTGCCTTCATGTCTCCAGGACTCTTTTTTTTTTTTTTTATTTTGTGAGTTCGCTGCGGATGTATTTATTTTCCCTTCCGTCGTTCTTGCATCTCTACGGGAGTTGTCTTTTTTTTTTTTTTTTTTCTTTTCTCCTTTTTTCTCCAGTTCTCGTTATTTTGCATGTTTTATTTCTTCCTGTGGAGGGGACGGGGTTGTCTGTCCTTTTGAACACCAACAAGAAAAAACAACAACAATAATAAATAAAAATAAAGAACACGGGACATGGTGATGGATGTTGTTTTTTTTTCTTTCTGTTTTTATTTTTGCTTCTTCTTGATTTTGTTTATCATCATCACTAGCAAGGGATTTTTTGTCTTTGCCTCGTTACTGTTGGGGCGCCCCTTTGCGCACGGATGAATGGGTTGAAGTATGACCGACAGCTGCGTTTGTGGAGCCTTGCAGGCCAGCGTTCACTGGCGGAGGCGCATGTTGTGGTTTTGGGCGCCACGGCAACGGCGGCGGAGGTGCTGAAGAACTTGATTCTGCCGGGGATTGGCTTCTACACCATCGTGGACGATGCCCCCGTTGATGATGGGGCACTCGGGAATAATTTTTTTCTCTCCGTCGATGACTACATCTCACACCGCCCACTCTCGGAGGCTTTGCTGCAGCATCTCAGTGCATTAAATCCGCAGTCAAATGGAATGGCTTGTGTGGAGTCATGTGTCTCGTGGGTGGAGGACTTCTTGTCGACTGGCATGCAAGCGCGTGGCACGGTCAGCTTGGACCAGCAATGGCCGCCGCCCTCTCTTATTTTGGTGACACCACGACTACCTGCCTTTTTGCTTCGTCGTCTTTCAGTCTGCCTGAAGGTTCAGAATGCACCGCCGCTCTTGTACGTGCAAACGCTGGGTCTAATGGGCCTCATTCACGTGCAGGAGAAGGAGCGGCTCATTATTCATGCAGAGCCAAAGAGTGAAACATGTGTGGAGGACCTTCGTATTTTCAACCCTTTTCCTGGACTGAAGGATTGGTTTGATGCGCATGATCCAGAGGATGACTCACTCTTTGGCGACGATATCGAGTTGCATAGTCATATTCCATGGATTGCAATTCTCTATCACGCTCTTCAACGCCTTCGACGGGAGCGTGGCACACCACGGCTTGTGCCACGCACCAAGGTAGAATATGATGCCGTAAGAAGGGTCGTCGGCGCATTTATTCGTAGGCCGCACCCGCCTCAAGAGGGTTTTATGGAGGCTATGGAGAAATGTTGTGTGATTCTTAACCGTCCGTCTCTGTTGCCTAGTAAAGTGCAGGACATTCTGCAGGACCCTCGTAGTGATGCACCGTGTCTTAATGGACAATTGGTTAATGATCACAGACCACTTTACTGGCTGGTGCTGCATGGAATCAAGCGATTCATGGAAGAAAATGATGGAGTGCCACCATTCTGCGGATATGTACCGGACTTCACCACCACAACACAGTGGTATGGTGAGCTGCGTGCCATTTACGACAAGAAATTGCGAGACGATTGCAAATTGGTGTACGACTACGCGATGGAAGCTATTGGTGGCTGCAGTTACGACAGCAGTGCATCCGTAGTGGATGCGAACGAAATCTCTGAACTGACGCGGGCTTTGGTTCAGAATATATGGACACTACAACTCGTGCGATTTGGCCCTGATCTCGATGAGACGGCCACGGACGCACCACTGCGATGGCAGTGTGTTTGTCACTATTTTGACGAATGCGAGAGTGAAGAGGAGCGATTCACTGTGGAATTGTACATGGCTCTTTTAGCTGCACACCAATTTGAGGAGCAGTTTGGGCGATCACCGGGGCAATTGCTTCATCCCAGCGCAGAGCCGGATGCAACGTGGGTAGATGACTCGAAGGAGTTGTTGCGGATAATTGAGGAGGCATGGCAAGGATACCGCTGCGACACGGACCTCACGGCAAAGGCATGCATGGAAGTGGCTCGGTTTGGTGGTGGCGAACCAGCTGCCACGGCGTGTATCGTTGGGGCGGCGGCGGCGCAGGAGTGCATCAAACTTGTGCAGCATCGTCGTGTTCCCATTCAGCGGCCGTTGATATTTGACGGGTACCGATGCTGTTTTTGGCTTGTCCCACCACCGCGGGAGGAGGTTGAGGGCGTGGCGCCCACATGATGGTGGCAGCGTGGGCGACCAGCTTTCTCTTTCTCGGAACGGTGACTGTGAGGATGCCCACCCTCCTGCTAAAAAAAAAAAAAAAAGAGGAAAGAAAAAGAATGTGTTGCCTTACACCCTGCTCTTTTATGGCCTTTTTCTTTATTATTTTTATTATTACTATTATTATATTTATTTGTTGTTCCATTCTGTGGATGCAAGCATGCACACCACTCCCAGCGTGTGCAATTCATAAACAAATAAAAGAAGTTGGTAGTGGGCACCTTAGAGACTCAAGAAGCTGATCGAGTAAAAAAAAAAAGGAGGACGAAATGTCGCATCGAGTGGCGCGTCCGCTTCGGCTGCTGCAGTCTTCTTGGAGCCTTGGGGTTGAGCGTGAAGATGGCCACACGGTGCCGACCATTGCCGTGTACAAACCCTCTGGCCTCCCGTACTTTGCCGCGTCACAGGTGGCCGCGTGCAGCAGCGGACGACATTTGTTCTCTGCCTCGCCACGGGACGTTCCGGCAGTAGAACCAGCGGATGTGAGTGACTCTCTGCTCGGTCGGATGACAGACCTCCTGCCTCCCGGAAGCGGCATACCGCGTGTAGCTTTACCACTCATTCACCCAGCGTTATCGCGTTATGCCACGGCGTCGCAATTGAATGCGTTGACGGCACAGCGAAAGGGAACTTCACTTATTGCCTGTTCACCTCATGAGTTTATGTTTCTTCGCAACTGCCATCGGCTGCATCTTGTAAGGTCTGTTTACCGTGTGCTCTGTCGTCTTCCTCCGTGCGTGTCTGTTCGAGTACGACGTGCCTTACGTGAAAGGAATGCAGCTGGGCGAACTACAGAGAGTGCCTTTAAGAATCCTTACGTCCAAGAGTTTCTCCAGCGCTCCAGTAGCATCTCGGGTGTGGCGGGGAGTATCCCTATTGTAATCGAAGTGGATGGGAGTTTGCCTCCGTGCGCATATCCTTATCCTTTGCTACAGGGAGGATTTATTAGTGTCAAGGAGCGGTGTTTGTTGCCTCACGGCACCGTCTCTGGGTATCTCAGTGGGTATCAACTTCCACCTGGTGTGCAGACAATCCTGAAGAAGCAGCAGAGGCTCAAGGAACTTTTTCTGCCATCTACGGTAATGAACTCTTTTTCGTCTTCTTCTTCATCATCATCATCACGACTGGCGATGGATGCCGTTGCGGAGGATAATAACGCAGGAGGGTGTACAATATGCCGAGGTAAAATGACCGGCCAGGAAGACGTCACTCATCCATGGATCGGGCCTGAGTGCCGAATGCGTGTTGCATTGGATGTGAGGGTGACGCCAGACAGGAAAGCGGTTAGTGAGATAAATGTTGATTGCAGCGACGTGGACCGTGCATTGACCCCACACCCGGACGGGAACGAAGGTGCCCCACTCGACCAACCGCAGTGGGGAAGGCGAGGAAGCCGTCGTCTTGTTGGGAAACCGTTCAGATTTGATTTTCGATTAGTCACCCTCAACGATGCCTGTGAATTGGCGTTGTATGAGGTCTCCACCAACAATGCATCGGACGAGGAGATCAAGGCTGCCTTCGCAGCCGCCAACTTTACGGTCATGAACGATTTTTTGAATGATATTGCGCTTGCGGAGGCCATGCAGACGGTCTCACAGGAAATACACACAGTGTCACGGGCGAAAATTGCGGATTTACCAATGGCCGCCCAACACATGTTGCGAGAGGGATCTCCGCTGGAATTGGTGGCCGAGCCACTCCTCAGCATCCCCACAGCATTATCCCCTGTGGATGGCGCTATCGAACCACAGGCCGATTTGTTAAAGCACATGGAGCAGGTGTCAGAACGAAGCGGTCTGCGTGGTCACCGCTACCGTCTTCTCTTGGAGACGCTTGGAAACTTGAAGGATGAGAAGACATTCTTTCATGTCGCCCAGTTAGTGTTTGGCAGTGGCTTGGAATGCACCGCGATTCACTTTCCAGATCCAAGGAACGAAGCCAACACGAGTGCCGTCCAACATCTTCTTCTTCGAATGGAGGAGAGTGAATTTTCAGAAGCATACTGTAACAATGTCGCAGAGCGTATGTCTTTTGTGAGCCGTGGGGCCGCTGTTGACTGCGAGACGTACAACACGCTGCTCCAGAATGGCAGCATGCGGTGCCTCCCACCGCAGCGTGAAGTGAGTATAGCGTGGGGCGGTGGACATTCCACCATTGTGCGAAGGGAGGAGTGTGGCGAATTGGGATGTGCATACTGTGGGGCGCGTGGTCACGTCTGGAGTACATGCCCAGGGGGAGTTCCGTTAATATCCAATGAGGCAGGCTCTTATGTTGAAGGGGAGAAAAGTAAAAAGGGAATCACAAAAGACAATTCAGTGACGGAATCAGACAAGTCCAATTTGGAACGAAAAGCCCTGGATGACATTTTGTTGACAACTGTGGATGATGTGACAGATGCTCTTGAAAGTGCCACGAGAAAAACGGATGATGCAAACTTTATTTCAATTCCAAACATTGCCCCAACGCAGGATTTTAATCCACATGCTTGGCGCCGTCACAATCAACGGCCAGCTTTGCATCAACACCGCCTGCGATGTGCGTACTGCAGTGGGAAGCATCACATTACGCAGTGTCCCAGGCTCTCTTGGAATGAGATGGGCGCCCAGGTAGGAGGTCAGTTAGACAAGGAACAGCTCCGTCATAACGCGGAGAAATTGTTCTGTATTAAATGTGGAAAATTTGGCCACCTGTACGACAGATGCCCAGCCGTACCGCAGGGACTTCACGCGGCGACACATTGCCCCATCTGCCTGCAGCCTCACCGTAAGATACACCATGAACCTTTACACTGCCCGCGTCGCGTCACGCCCCCGCATGACTACTTCCCAAGCGGAGTACCCGCAAGTTTCGCGCAAGTTAACAGGAGCAGGAAAAAGTCAACCCGTCACGGGGGCGGTGTACTTCTTTCGGACTCCTTTTTTTCACGTCCGTAGCGCGAAATAATACGAGATGATATAGAGAAATAGAAGAAGAAGAATAGGTGTACCTTCATTATTTGCTTTGACTGGAGGATGGGACTCTCTTTCTCTCACTCTCAGTGAATAATAGACTGACACACAGAAACAAACAAACAAACAAACAAATGTACGCACGTTCATAGTAATGACATCTTTAAACAGTTTTGATGACATTCATGCCCTTTTTTCTTTTGTTGAATTGTGTTTTGCCGCCGTTGTTATTTATATTCACCAATATATATATATATTTAAAAAAACCAAGGGTATACAAGTAACCCCCCAAAAAAATACCAAAAAAAAAGAAGGAAAAGGAAACAGGAGCTTTTGAGAGGCAGCAGCAATCGGCAGTGTTGCTGGTGGGCATAAAAAAGGCGAGGTGTGCATTGTACCTTTACTGTTACGCACACAAAAAAGTTAGTGCAGCATGTGGAGTAACTGGAGTGACGTCAAGAGGAAAATCAAGGACATTGCTGCAGAGATCACACAGCCACTCGATGAGGAGTCGGAGGATGCCCATGAGAAGGAACAACCTTCCGGCGGGGGAAGAAGTAGGCCACTGCAGGAGGAGCCGCGTCCGATGTCGCATGCGACACCGCACGGTTCTCGGCTCCTAACAGTGAAGAACGACTCGATTTACGACCATAGCGGCAGTTTATCGACGTCACGATTAGGGGGATACACTGCCCCACCGGTTCGTCAAGCAGCCCCATCGGATATTAGCACGACGCCACCATCACGTCTTAACAACTCCAGCGTACATGAAGAGAGTGTTGAGCGGAGTCGAATTTCTTCTACCGCAACTGTGGATAAGACGTTATCAACGTCTTATAAGGAACCTGAAATGGGAACAGCGGCGGCAACAACATCCCCAGCAGAAACGAAAAACGGTGGCGAGGCGAAGCACAACAAGGAGGAATATATTGAGGAATTGGAACAGCAGGTACGGCGATTGTCGGAGGCTAAATTTCAGATTGAACAACAGGTTCTTGCGTACCAGGAAAAAGTGAGGGAATCACATAAAAAGACCGTGGAATATTATGAACAAAAAATGGAGACGCTTCAGCACGGAATAAGCTCGGAAAAGGCTCTAAAGGAGGAATTTGCAGAAAAACTTTCGCAGCGCGAAAAGGATTGTCAGGAACTTCAGAGTGAAGTTCGAGAACTGCGTGAACAGGTAAAGAAATTTGATGATGAGACCACCACTATAAAATTATTGCATGGTGAGATGAAAAAAACGTTAGCTGATCGAGAAGAGGAATGCTTGGAAAAGAGGCGGCAGATCGAATCGTTGCAGGAGCTACACGATGCTTTATTGGAACGCGTTGAGCGTGAGAAGCAAAATAAAGACAAAACTCCAATGGAGTCTGTCCCTATTGCTCATTCAGATGCTCATGTTAGCAGTCACGTTGCATCGGGATTGGTGGTGGGGGATTCGTCAGTAGCGGAACTTCGTCGGCGCGTTGAGGCGCTGGAAGAGGAAAAAGTTCTCATGTTGCGTGAGAAGGAGCAAATGACGGCGTTGCTACTAGAAGAGCGGCGCATCCACCGCGTTACAGTGAAGGAAAGAGAGCAGATATTGTCTCACGACCGGGAGCTGGCGCAGCGACTGGCGGCACTGGTTCAGCGACTTGAGAATGAGCGGCAGCAGGAGCGACAAAACGACAGGGAGGAGGAAGAGAAACGAGGGAAGATGTTGACGCAGCAGGAGGAGGCGGCGCCGGGGAATGGGATGGAAACGGAAAGGGCCGCCGCGAGGAATCGTGAGAAGCTGGAAAAGTTGACATCTTCTTTGGAGAAGGAAATTGTCGCGTTGCGGTCGCAGTTGGAGACGAACAAACGTGAAGGCGAGGAGGCCGTCCACCGCGTGAAGGCGGCGCTAAGCGAAGAACACGCGCGAAACATGGCAGCGTTTGTGTCACAAGAGGAGCAAAGGACACGTGAAACGATTGAAAAACTCCAACGCGAATTGCAGGACGCGCAGCAGCACGGGATTGAATTAGAAAGGCGACGGGAGAAGCTGTGGGAGGAAGTGCAGCAGCTTAAAGAACGCCTCAAGCAGGCGCACTCCGACGCAGAGACGCTCTCAAACAAGTTGATTGTAGCCGAAACACAAGTGGAGGAGCTGCAGTTTAGTTTGCAGGAGGCGCGGCATGCAACGGAGGGAAATGAGGCCTCCCTTGTCTGCGCTCTCAAAGCCCGAAAGAAGGAGCTGGAGACGACGAGTGCGCGACAAAAGGAGCTTTTGCAGCAGCTGGAACACACCATCACGGATTGCCTTGTGCGCACAGACACAGATTTGCCGCCGCCGCGTGAGGGCGTTGGGGCGTCTTTTTCGGATAAAGTCATTCTTCTTGTCAGTGAGTTTAACCGCCTCTTTAGTGAAAATCAAAAAGCAGCGCAGCTGCAGAAGGAGTGGGAACGAACCTATGAGCAGGCGCGAGGAGTGAATGGGACACTTTCTCAGCAGGTGAGCGAGGCCTGGAAAACCATTGGAGTCTTACGGGAGGACCTTTCCATCCGGGATCAGTCCCTTGCAAGGATGAAACAACAACTTCAGGCGGAGTCGCAGCAGCGCCATGATGCACAACACACTCTGACGGTTATAACAAATGAACTCCATGGCCTCAAGGAGGAAAAAAGGGCATGGGAAACACGTATAGGTCTTTCCAGTGATGGAAAGGCAAATCATCAGGAACAGCTAAACGCGTTGGAGGCGGATGTTGAGACACTGCGAAGGAACCTGCTTGATCGGGAGGAGGAATTGTCGCAGGCGCAAAGTAGTTTGGAGACACTCCAGCAGGTGCTTGATACCTTCACACAGAACAAAACACGTGATGTGGAAGAGCGGACAGCCGACATGCAAATTGAGATTGATCAGCTGCGGACGCAATTGTTGGAGGCTGAGAAGCGACAACACCACCATCAGGCGGACATTGACGCACTGGCCGTGGGCCACATGCGAGAAATTGCGGCAAAGAATGCGGAAATTACTTCCCTTCATCGCAAACACGCCGAAATTAGAAAGGCACTGGATGAGACGGCGCGGCAGTTAAATGGGACGACCATGATTGACAAACGCGTCATTAGTCACCTTACGGTGAATTTTATTCATGCATTTGTGGGTAAGCGACGTGAGGCAGATGAGATGCTGAAGGTTTTAAGTGGCCTGCTGAACTGGGACGAGGAGATGCAAGAAAAGGCGGGTCTGTTGCCCGGTCCTAGCAATCCAAAGCCCGGCCATCAGAGAAAAGGTGGTGGACTTATTGGAGGCCTTGTGAAAACTGTCTGGGGAGGTCCTGGCCGTGGAGCGAGACAGGAAGGTGGTGACAGTGGCACATCGCCAAGTATTGCGGAATTGTGGGTGGAGTTTTTAATGCGAGAAAGCGAGGCGGGAATAATTCAGGGGGATGCGGCGTCGGTGAATACCACTTCCAATGCCTCCACTCTGCAAATTGAGGATGTCATTGTTGCGGAAGGAGATGACAGTGGCGTTAAGTCACTCACGGTTTAAGGTGGGGCCATGTGCATCTTGCGTGTTTTTTTAGATATTTGTGGAAGTTTTGTCTAATTTATAGTAGTGTGTGCGTAAGGGGGGTTTGTTTCCACTTCGGCGTTTTTTTTTTTTACATGTTCTTTGTGGCATTTCATGGGGAGCGAACTTCATTAGACCGTTCATGGGAGGATCGCATGTTTTTTCCTTTTTTTTACGTGGATGCAATGAGGCACATTTGATTTGTCTTTCGCTTGGATGAGGGAAGGGAAAGGGGATGTATTCTGAAGACGTAAGAGGGACTGACGATATGTGTGCTTTTTTCTTTTCTTTCTCTTTTTTTTTTTTTTCTGTTTATTGCTGCTGCCACTCATTTTTGTTGTTGTTGTTACCATTGTGGTGGCTTTGTGTTTATTTTTGATCCTTCTCTCTAAAGTTGTTGTATTTATGTGTGCGTGTATATATGCATGTGCAATCACGCTCTTTTTTCATTTTCTTTTCCAGCGCCACTTTTTTGACATTTCACTGAAGTCCTCGTAAAATTTGCATCCATGCCACTGATTCCCTTCTCCATTTCTGCAAAAATGTTGTGTTGGACCGATGCATCTTTGGTTTGGGCACGCGTAGCCAAAAAAAAAAAAAAAAAACTTTTTTTTTAAATGTTTTTTTTTTCCCAACTTTTTACCCTCGCTTTCTTTCCCTTTCTTTCTTTGTTTTTTTTTTGTGTGTGTGACTTTGCCCTGACCGTGGAGTGGGTGGGTGGGTGGATCCAGAGAGAGCAGTAGTAGAAAGAAAAAACCCCTCTCTCTGACTTTGTTATACCACAGAGAAGGATTGGGCGGTGCACAGAGGGAGGCGGTGGATTTAATATTTCTTGCAACATTAAAAAAAAAAAAAAATGAACGGGGGTGGAAGAGGCGGCAGGGAGATGTCCAACTGCGTGGAGTGTAGTATTGACGCGTACGATGACGAAGGAGGATTTACATCCACCACCATCCTTATCGAGACATGTCGCTCAGACGCTGGAAGCAGCAGGCGCAGCAGTAAGAAGAGTACGAGCACAATGCGTACTCGGCGGAGAAAAAAGATGCAGAAACAGCAGCAGCAGCAGCAGCAGCAGATTTGGCTTACAGGAGAAGGGGAGGATTTTTTTCAACAGTCATCTTATCCCCCCACACGACATGCATCATCTAGCGGGCGGGCACGCTGCAGTGTGAAGACACCCTTTTCCTCTGGTACTGCAGGGGCACCGTACAATAAGAAGTTGCGCAAGAAGAATATGCAGCAACAACAACAACAACGCCACCACTTTTCGTTTGGGTGTAAAACGGCTACAAATAATGGCGGGGAGACGAGCTCTTCTTCTTTTTTCATCTCTCCCACACACCGTGTAGTAGCAGAAGCAACAACGCCGTGGAATAATGCATATGGCACTTCTGCAGGGCGTTACCATTTCTTCGGTCAGGGCGGTCTTCCGACAAATGTTTCGCGTAGTACGACGCGTCGCAAACGTGACGACGACAATGACGATGACATGGACGATAAGTCATTTCCATCGAATTTGGGACGGCGGGATCGTGCAGCGTTTGGAGGAGGCAGTCGCCTGTTAGCACCACTCCGTTCGCCTTCCGTGTTGCCGCCACTAGAGCTTTTGCCGGCTAGCAGAGTTGAAATTAGCAGCGACTTGTTGGAGAGCTGTTTGTTGGATGCTTGTCTGGGTGATGACGATGATTCTTTGTTTTTTTTTGAGTAGATATATATATATCTATACATATATACACGAAGGTGATGGCGTACCGTTTAGCACATGGACATGGTGGCACGGTTGATTGCAATAAATGAATAAGAAATTAGAAGAAACAATGGAACCAAGAATAAGGCGAGAAGGAGATGAAAAAACAAGGGAGAGAGGGGGGAATGAGAGATTCTCCCGAGGTTGGCACATGTATATATATATATGTGCATGTCCGTGAGTTTTTTTGACATTTACTTTTTCTGCAGAGAAGAGGGTAGGCAGGAGGATGGGGTGGCGTGTTCTGTGATTCTTACTTTTTTTTTTTTTTTCCGCCAGTATCTCTTTTTTAAATTATTATCTTTTTTTTTTTTAACATTGCCTACAATTAGGCGTGACACGCATGGTAGAGAGAGAAAGAAAAAAAAAAAAAAAAAAAAAAAAAAAAGAAAGGGAGTGGGTGGGTAAACAGAGAGAAGAATAAAGTGATAGTCGTACGGGGTAATAAACAATGAGCACCAGCACCACGCATGTGCAGAAGGAGACGATATTAAGCCTCAATTACTATGAGATCTTTTCCCTTGACCCTTCCGCACGAGATGTTGACTTTGGCTCCGTCCATCGCGCGTATCGCCGCTTTGCTCTCTTGTTTCACCCCGACAAAGATCCCTCACCGGCTGCAAGAGCGGCGTTTGAGCGGGTGAAACTTGCTGCAGAGACGCTTACAGACCCGCAGATGCGTCGAGAGTATGACGAAGAGTTGCTGCAGAAATTGCAACGCTCAACGGGCACCGGCGCCACATCCGCGTGGCAACGACAGCAACGGGATGTAATGGAGGAAGAGGCGCTTGCAGCCGACATGATTCTCCGACAGAAGGAGGCGGCCACGGCGGCGAAGGCAGCGGCGAAACGTGAGGAGGAGTTGGAGAAGGAGGCGGCAGCAAAGCAGATGCTGCATGAGTTGACAAATGCTCTGACAACTCCGTTTAAGCGGATGGAGGAAGAGTTGGTGCATGAATGGGAAATTGACGAGGATCTTCTGTCGATGAAGAAAAAGGAGGTGGAGTCTCTCCTGCAGAAGCTACGCGAGTACAATGAAGGTCAGGGTCGGCATGGACGGTCGGTGGATGCACACGCGTGTGGTACAAAACGCAGAAGAAGCGAAGAAGAAACCGCCAGTAAAGTATGAGACGCATAAATGAAGGAAATGGAATGGGGTATATATATATATACGTGTATTGCCCCTTCCGTTGGCGCATATAATGAAAAATCCGCGCATGCATGCTTCATTTCCCACACACAGTCTTTTTTTTTTTTTTTTTTTGCATTTTGGTGAGTGGGATGAGGCGATGGGGGATGTTCTTCACCAAAAGACTCACGTGGGACACCGTGGGGGAGTGAAATAAATATAAAGCATCACAATGCACAAAACAGCCAGACAACACACGAAGAGAAATGTTGTGGCATCCTATCGGACTTTTTTTTCCCCCTTTTCTTCTTTCTCAACAAAGGAAATAGAACAAAAGGGGATGCTCGGAAATCGCAGTTTGACGGAGGAGCAGACCCTTATTCGACGTCACTTTATTGACTTTTTTGAGTCGGAGCGGTACGAGGAAAAGTACCACGATCGTATTCATGAGATGATGTCTGCTGCCAGGTCCCGACTTCTACTTGACATGGGCGATTTACTTGACTTTGTACCGGCGTCTGCTGGGCTTGATGGTAGTGGCACGGCAGCGGGAGCGGTGCCTGCTTCTCTTGGGGTTGGAATCGTTCGTGAGCCCGGAAAGTTTGTTCCGCTACTTGAACTTGCCCTTCATGACGTTGTTCTACGGCAACAACCAGAGTATTTGAAGGTGGACTACCGCTCCCGTGCGGTGCATGTTGGGTTTGAAGGCCCTGTAGGGACCGTCCTCTCGCCGCGGGAATTATACGCCCGACATCTGAACACGATGGTGGCACTTGAGGGTATCATCACGCGGCAGTCTTCAAATCGCCCACGTGTGTTGGAGTCTGTGCACTATTGCCCCGAGACAAATAAATTTACCCGAAAGGCATTTCGCGATCAGTTTACACCAATGATTGATAGCACTCATCTTCCAACAGTGAATGTTATGCCAAAAATGGACATGGAGGGTCACTTGCTCCGCACGGAGTTGGGACTATCGACTTTTATGGATTCACAGTGTGCAATTCTTCAAGAAGCACCTGAACGTGCACCAACAGGTCAACTTCCGCGAACCGTTGAACTTCGCTTTGATGATGACTTGGTGGACGTCGTGAAGCCCGGGGATCGTGTGATGCTGGTGGGGGTTTATATGGCCTACACCACGGCTGACAGTAAAAGCTTTCAATCTATTGTTTTAGTAAACCACGTGGTTTCCGTACAGGCGTTTACGATGTATCGCCGTGTGATGGCCGTGGAGGAGAAACTCTTGTCGTTTGCAAAGAAGTGTACACAAACCGATGGTCCTGCTGGTGTGCTTGAGACGTTAAGCAAAGCGGTGGCACCAACCATCTATGGTATGACAAACGAGAAAAAGGCTGTCTTGCTTCTCATGGTAGGTGGCGTAGAGCGGCAAGCGCATCAATCACGTGTACGCGGTGACATCAATGTGCTTCTTGTAGGTGAACCCTCTACCGCAAAGTCGCAGTTGCTTCGTTTTGTAATTGGTGTTGCACCATTGGCGCTTAGCACGACCGGTAAAGGCTCTTCCGGTGTCGGATTGACGGCTGCCGTGTCGGTGGACTCATACACGGGTGAACGATCCCTTTCGGCGGGAGCGATGGTAATTGCGGATCGTGGTATTCTCTGCATTGATGAATTTGATAAAATGAGTCCACAAGACCGAGTTGCCATGCATGAGGCAATGGAGCAGCAGACTGTAACAATTGCCAAGGCAGGCATTCACGCCTCTCTCAATGCTCGTTGCAGTGTGTTGGCGGCGGCAAACCCCATCTATGGCTTTTACAGCGTTCACCATCGTCTTGCATTTAATGTGGGTTTGCCGGAGTCACTGCTTTCACGTTTTGATCTCACATTTATTGTATTGGACAAACATTCCTCTGAGTATAACAGACGTATTGGGAGACATATTCTCCGCAATCATATGACCGCCGCGCCGGTGGGCATTGATCAAAGTGTGACCAAAACGGTGGTGGATAGTGTAGACTCCGTCTGGGCACAGTCTGCAAAGAATGGGGGTGGGGGAAGCGGTGGAATGGATCTCCGTATGACCACAACAAGTACGGGAGAACCCATTGTTGGCGTGGATTTCCTGCGTGCCTACGTGCAGCTTGCGAAGGAGGGCCGACCACTGTTGACGGAGGCCTCGCAGCAGCTTGTGAGTCAGCACTATGTACAACTGCGTGCAGAGCAGCAGGAGGGATCAAAGGATGGCTTTTATGTGACGGCGCGTACATTGGAGGCGATTGTTCGTCTTTCAACAGCGCACGCAAAATTACGGCTTTCCTCTACTGTGGATGAAGAGGATGTCAAGAACGCCATGGAACTTTTACGCGCTTCTGTGCATGCCGCATCCACGGCGTCTCTGCAGCGCCGTGAGGACAATCAGGCGGCTGCTGTGGAATCACGTCCTGGCCAGAAGCGCCCTGCGGAGATGATCCGAGACGGTGCCAATGGGCGAACGCCTGAAGAAACGAAGGATGGAGCGACACCGTCCGCGATGATGCAAGAGGATATTACAACCCAACTTCTTGAAAAACGAGTAACAGAGGCCATTCGCGCGATGCAGCGTGAGCAACGTCCGTCTGTACGATTGGCGGAGCTGCATGAAAAGATAGGCGGCGGCGTCTCCTTAGAGAATCTGCGGCAGATGGTTTTCCAACTGCAGGATGAGAACTTTGTATTTGAGGGCTCCGCAAATGATGGATGGATTCAGTTCATATGAATAGAAATAGAAGCAACGCAAAAGAGAAGAGGAGGAAAAAGGAAAGCAAAAAAAAAAAAAAAAAGATCAGAGGAATTATAAAACAGAACACAATGCGTGTAGTTGTAGTTCTCTGTGTGTACATATGTAACTGCGTCTTCAGATATTCCTGCCGTGTAGAAATGAAAAAAAAAAAAAAAAAGAGAGAGAGAGAGGATCTCCAATATTCACCTGTTTTTGTCCTCAGCACTGTGATTTATTATTATTATTATTATTTGCTTTTATTTTTGTTTTCTCACACGGCAGGGATGTGAGAAGGTTTTTCTTATCCCTTTTATTTAACAGGGTGTGGACGTTTTTCCAGTTTGGAAATGCACCTTTTTTTCTTTTTCTCTTTTGTTGCAGAAGTGCTTTTAGGCTTCATGCTGCGAGTTGGGATTTGCCACTTTAGCCGCCAGGAACCACAGGTGATTGGGACTTCGGTGCCGTCGTTCCGTCACTTCCCGTATAGGGCGCAGGATGTTCTGCATCTTTACCGTGATTTCTTGCGTCTCATCCACCAACACCCGCCGCAGGAGCGAGCCGATCTTCTTTTTCGCCTGCACAACGAGTTTTACCGTCGGCGGCACCTCACGAGCCCCAAAATGATTACAGGCGCCATCAAACGAGGGGAGGGCATCCTGAACGTGCAGCGTAGTATGTTGGAGTCTAAGACACTGCGAGCTCGCGGTGTGTCGTCGCGAGAGCAGGGTGCGCAAAACGTGGATGGATTGTGGGATCAGCTGCAAATGCTCTCGGGACATGTTCTTCCGGGTCTGCGGAACTTTAGGCCCTCTCGAAATGTATTGAAAGGGTCCTACACACAGCAGGCTACAACGCAGGCCGTCTACTCACGTAGGAGATTATAGTCCATTTCCCTGTTTTGCTGCTTTTGAATTGCTGTGCGTGGCCACCCACAGCGGAGCATAAGGCAGGATGAGTATGCGTGTAGCTTATATTGCTGTGTGATGGTCGCTTTTCTTTTTATTTCTCTTTGTTTGTGCTTGTGTTTTTGTGCACTTTGCGACGATGTCTGGTCTCCTTCCCGTCCGTACAACGCAGATGGTGGTGAAGCCCTTAGGCGTGAGTCTGAGTCTCCTACCATCTTTTCAAGGAAAAAGCAACAACAAAGCCGGAGGGCAGTGGGGATTGTCTGTTGTGTCAGAGGAAAAAAGAAGAAGATAGATGCCAATGCCATTTGGGGAATTTCCCCCTTTTATTCGCCGCCGAGTCGTTGTCACCGGCCTTGGCGCAGTGACGCCACTCGGTCTTGACGTCGCTTCAACGTGGGCGGCGCTTTGTCAGGGCCGCTCTGCCACACGTCCCCTCAAGGAAGTCCCTTTTTTCTTCCCTGCATGTATTGATTCCGACCGCCGCCTGACACCAGCGGCGAGGCAGAAGAGTCACGAGCAGCTGCTTGCAAAAATGCCGTGCCAAGTAGCCGCTCCAGTTTTGGCGCCATCGGGTAGGCCCAACTTCACACCCACTTTACGTGAAACACGTGCGACGTTGTTTGCATATTACGCTGCCGAAGAGGCATTGACGCATGCAAGGCTCCTTGAGTTCCCAGCGAAGCGAATACTCGCATCATTTGCAAAGGAACGTATTGGTGTGAACATTGGTGTTGGGATGCCTTCTCTTGCGGATGTCGGTGATGTTTCATACAGTTTGTATGCGGATCCAGAAAACGTAAACTACAATCGTGTGAATCCGTTGTTTGTTCCAAAGATCCTGGGGAATATGGTGACGGGATTGACAGCAATGAAGTATGGCATTATGGGGCCAGTGGGAAGCAGCGTTGCCGCCTGTGCCACGGGAGCGCATTGCATTGGAGAGGCGGCAGAGTGGATTCGTGGTGGGCGAGCGGACATTGTTGTGTGTGGAGGAACGGAGGCCTGTATTACTCCTGTTTCCATCGCTGGATTTAGCCGTATGCGTGCACTCTGCACGAAGTATAACGATATGCCGCAGGAAGCGTCGCGGCCGTTTGACAAGGATCGTGGTGGTTTTGTGATGGGTGAGGGAAGTGGCATTATCGTTTTAGAGCACCTGGAGCACGCAATGCAACGCGGGGCACAAATTTTTGCGGAAATACGCGGTTTTGGCATCTCGAGTGACGCCCACGATTTGGCCGCACCGCATCCAGAGGGCCGTGGGGCGCAACTGTGCCTCCGTTCCGCGTTAGAAGATGGGGGAAATATTTCAATAGACGATGTTGCGTATGTGAATGCACATGCCACCGGTACGATTGGTGACGACATGGAACTTCACGCCCTGGACAAAGTTCTGGGCGGCGACGGGACGTCCAGCCACCGCCGTCCGGTATACGTCAGTAGCGTGAAGGGTGGTCTTGGACATCTCTTGGGGGCCGCAGGAAGCGTTGAGGCCATTGTTACTATCATGTCTCTTTATCACCAGCAGGCACCTCCAAATATTAATCTCCACGCCCCTTCAGCGGAAGGGTTGGAGCGTCTGCAGCTTGTGCGAGGCAACGCGCCTCTTCCATTTCAAGGTGACGCTGTGATTTCCACAAGCTTTGGTTTTGGTGGCGTCAACACGGCACTACTCCTCACGCGAGTCGAGAAGGCGTAAATCTGAGAAAGAGGCGGGGGAGTTGCGTGCATTCGGTTTGTCGTGTGTATTTTTTTTTTCACCTTAAATAAAGCAACCTTTTCTCCATTTGGTTCACTCACTTGCATGTGAAACTTCTCCAGTATATATATATATATATTTGCTGGTTGTTTTTTTCCCTCTTTCCTGCCGCACACAGCAATGAACGATAGGGACGGAAAGGAAGGAATTGGCGAGTTACATGCGGAGTTCAGGGGGATGCATTTATGGTGATTTCCCCCTTTATTTTTGCTGCACACAACCCCACGTTTATCGTATGAGGGGATTTATTATTATTATTATTTTTTGTGTGTGTGTGAATTGGATTGAGGTGGGAGTCAACACCGTGTAAATTTTTTGGGAGGGGACGCACGGCCCCATACAAGCGTGCGTGCATGCATGTATAAATTACACATTCCCTTTCTGATGGTATGCGTGTAATTACCGAAGGATGGTGTGAATACAGTGGCATGTATTCTCTTGTTAATTATTAGTTGTTTTTGGATGTTTTCTCTCTGAATTCATAAATAATTCAATGTAATGATTTACTTTGTTGACCACATTTCTTTCTTTTTTTTTTTTTTTTAATGTTGTTATTGTTGTCTTATTGGGGCTCTCATTGCCGCCAAAATAAACAAAAATAATAATAAATAAATAAATAAATATCAACAACAAGAAAGGGAAAACAAAAACAAGTGTGGTTGGGAGGTAACAGACGCAAATGGAAAGACCACCGCAACAGCAACAACAAGAACAACAACAAGAGGAACAACAGTACGGCACGGAGGAATTGGGCGCGATGAATCCGGACACCATCGCCGACGCCTACCAGGGTGAGCCACAGACAGGTGAGGAAGATATCCCGGTGATGATTGAGACGCGGGTGGTGCGTCTTCACGGGCTCCCGTACTCCGTAAGCGAGGAAACCATTCGTGCCTTTTTTGCGGAATTTGAACTGGATGAAAAGGATCCCATCCTGCACTTCACGGAGGGATTACATCGTGGGACTGGATTCGTTCGCCTGAAGAGACCCGAGGATGTGGAGGAATCCATAAAGAAGCTCCACCGCCAGCATATTGACGCCAATCGCTACGTTGAGCTTACCGCATCGACCGAAGAGGAGCGTCAACGTATATTGGAACAACAAGAGCAGGGATGCAAGACACACGTCCTGCGATTACGAGGGCTTCCTTTTACATCCACAGAGGAAGATTTAAGGGAGTTTGTCAGGTCTGTTCCGGGAGTAACGCGTGTGGATATCTGTCGGGACATGGAGGGACGCAACACCGGGGATGCATTCATTCAGCTTGCCACAGAAGAAGATGTCGAGGAGGCAAAGCAGCTTCACAATAAGACAATGGGCTCACGCTACATTGAAGTTTTGCCTTCTACAATGTATGATCGTGACGCCATTATGCGAGCCGCCAGTCTTCGTGCACGTCGTGATCGTCGTGGTACACGTGCTGGCGACAGTCCTTTGGTGGGCCCACGCAATCATGGCAACGGTGTTTCCCCTGGTGCGATGCAAATGCTGGCACCAAACTTTTTTGACCCATTTATTGCGGCTGCGTGCATGGGATATATGCCCCACGTTTCTTTTGGTAATGAGTTGTCACAAAACCCATATGAGCGCAGTGGGATGCCACAAGGAGCGCCTTACGGAGTCCCCGGTGGTCCACAGCCGTTGTTTCCGATGTTCCCCGGTCATGCACCGATGGTGGCGCCGCGTGCGCCAAGCCCCCACGTAGTTCGCATCCGCGGTGTGCCGTATGCCGCGACGGAGGAGTCAATCGCGGAGTTTTTTGCGGGGGTGAAGATACCGCCTCAGGGTGTTCATATGGTGTACAATGAGCAGAACCGGCCCACCGGGGAGGCGTTTGTGGAGCTGGAGAATGACTCGGATTTGGTGGCGGCCCTGGAACGAAACGGTGGGGCGATGGGGAACCGCTACATTGAAGTCTTCCAAAGCAGTGTGGCGGCGATGCAGCGACTGGGGAGCCCACTCACGGGGATGATGAACATGATGCAGTACTCCATGCCGGGGTTGGGTGTTGTGCCGCAGCCGCACTGCTGACGCAATTAAATAAGCGACGATGTCATCATCATCATTATCATTATCATTGTCGTCGTATTTTGGCGGGAGCAACAAAGAAGGAACAACAAGGAACAATGAACAGAAGGGAAAAAACAACAACAACAACAACAACAACAAAGGAAACAGGAATGAAAGAAAGAAAAAAAGAAAAAAAAGAAAAAAAAAGTGCACCAAAACGTCATGTCTCTCCTTGCGATTAAAGAGAACGCGTATCAAAAAAAGAGAAAAAAAAAAAGAAAATATGGACTCAAACAAAAGAAGCCGCAGAACAGAAACACGCACACGCACACAACAAAAGCCAACAGCAACTACAAAAAAGGACCAATGCCAAAAGGAAACAACAACAAGTCACAGGACCCAAGCGAGACGGAGAGGTGAGGAGGAAGAAGGAAAAAAAAGGGAGGCGGTGGGGAGCGAAGGGGGAAGCAAGCGGTGCTGCCTCCTTCCCTTTTTTGTTTTTGTTGTTCTTTTTTTGTTTGTTTTGTGTGCTGTTTTTCTTTTTCTGGATTATCATTTATTTTATTTTACTTTATTTACTTATTTTTTTTTTTTTTTTACGCGTGATTTGTGCGGAGTCGACATGGCGCTCATGACATCAGCCGGGGTGTGTGCAGGGGGAGGGGGGAAAGACGTGCCGAGCTGCTCCCCCTTCCCTTCCTTCCCTCCGCCTGCTCCCCTCCTCCACACTCGTCCCCCCGCTGAGCGGTGAAAACATGAACCGCACGGGGCGCCTGTGGAGCGACGGCGTGAGGGGAAAAAACAAACCAAAAAAAGGGTGGGGCGAAGGGAGGGGGGCTGCCGGGGACGTGACGACAGGCGTCACGGAAGAGTTGGGTCGATGAAATGTTAAAAATCAACGGGTGGTGGAAAAACGAAGGAATAAAATTTAAAAAAAAGAAAAAAAAATACACGGAGATGGACTGAAATGCGCAAAAAAAAAAAAAAAAAGGAAAAAAAAAAAGAAAAGAAAGGCTGCTGCTGAGCGTATTGCAGCGACAAAATTTATTGAACAGGGATGCAGGGTGGGGAGGGGAGAAAAAAAAAGTGTGTGTATATATAACTATAACCATAACTATATATATATATATATATATATATATATATATATATATATATATATATATATATATATAGAAGGCTGTAAAGGAAAAAAAAAAAATAATAATAAAAATAAAAAGAAAACCGAAGGGATAACAACAACCACAAAAAGATGGTTTCCAAAAACAAAAAAACGGGGGAATGATGTTGTGGGGGAGGGGGGAATAATAAACAAAAAAAAAGTGGGGTGGGTGGGGTGGAGGGGCATGAGGCACAGGAGGGTGTCTTTTTGCCCACACAGTTATTCACTTGCAATGCGTACGGGCGTATATTTATCTATCTATGTATCTATCTATCTATAAGTAACCATCTGGTGTGTTTTTCTGTGTGTCCGTGTGTGTGTGTGTGTGTGACGGTGGACGCACTCAGGGAAGGGGGGAGATGGGCAGACGGGGGGATGGCGGTGGATTGCAATAATAAAATATAAAATAAAATAAAATGTCGGGCGGGCAGCGGAAGCCACACAAAAAAAAAAAAAAAAAAGAAAAAAAAGGGGTAATAAATCAATCAATCAATAAAAAAAGAGGGCAAAAGACTGCAGGAGGGGGGGAGTGGGGAGGGAGTGGCCGTGAAGAGTGTGAAGGATAATAATAAGAATAATAACGAGGATGAGCGCCTTTTTCCGGTGAAGAATTTCATGCATACGCATGCCGGAGGAGAGAGAGAGAGAAGGCAGGGACGCTAACCGCACCTCCATCGCAGCACGGGCTGCATAAATGAAGTGAAGTCATCAGGTGGAACGAATTCGACACTTGACACGTTTTTTTTTTTTTTTTGATGTCATCGTTGTTTTTTTTTTTCTTTCTTTTTTGATGTCCCCGGGTTTTGAAAACAACAACAACAACAAAAAAACTTATTTTTTTTTTTGTTTCGTTTTGTTTTTCCTTTTGCCTTTTTTTTTTTTTTTTTCTCTTCTTGTACTGAGAGTGTGCGGGATGCTGGGGATATTTTGTGAATGGGAACTAAGCGTATATACATATATGTATGCGTATGAACACCGAAACCAAAATGGTTGGGTGTTGGTGAAGTGATGATGATGATTTGGGATTGGTGGGGGAGGGGGTGGCGGTTCAACACAACGGAGTGGCATTCCACACTTGCGGTGATGCATTTTTGTGCACCCACACCCACACCCACACACACACACACACGAAAGGCACAGAGATTTATTTTGTCTTATATTTGCAGCATTCAATCATTTGTTTTTTGTTTTCTTTATTATTATTATTGTTGGTTTGTGTGTGTGTCTGTGTCTGTCTCTCTGTGTGGGAGGGAGGGAGGGAGGGAGGGCTGCGGGAGGAATTGTTGATCAAATCTTCATAAGCGGCACGTCATTGATTTTGGAATAGCAAAGGGTGTGGAGAAGGGGGAGGGGAGGGGAAGGCGGGGTATATATTTATATGGACATGTATACGTGATCTATGTGCAGATAGATGTATGCAATTACAAATGTGTACATGAAAGAGGGGTGGATGGGTGGTGGGAGAGAAGGCCTGGAGGATATAAATTTCTTGAGGGGAAAAAAAAAAAAAAAAGGAAACGCTGTTATTTTCATCAATAAAAGGGCTTCTTTATTTATTTACTTCTTTTTTTTTTTTTTTTTTTTTTGAGTGTGTATTTGTATTTTTGTTTGTTTGCTCCTGCTCCATTGTTGTTGTTGTTGGACGAGGATTTGATTATTTCTCTCTTTCTCTTTATATGTGATTGTAGCAGGAGGAGGAGGGGAAAGAGGGAAGGAGGGAGGGGTGATGTATACATTTTTTTTTTTTTTTTTTTTTTTTGTTTGCCCGGCTAGTGATGATGATGATTTTAGGGCCAGCACC